TTCTCTTTTCCTGGCTGGTAGATGCTGAACAACATCCCTCTGTTGTCTGCAGTTCTTGATGTGTTTTTCCAACTTACAAGCCTTACCTGGAGGCCATTGACATCTTGAAACATACAGTGCTACCATAGCTCCACTTTCAAGTTTCTGTCCCAGTGGTAATGCTTACAACCCCTGTGCTGGTCACTTTTAGGGAAAAGCCCTCCTTTTTTCCCTTTCTGCTGTAACACACTGGCACTGATCCCATCACCCTTGAATTTCACAGAGGCATCCGCGTAAACAGTTTTGCAAGACCCAGGTCTGTGCCCCATGTAATCAGTGATGGAAGCTGCTTGCTCTTCTAACGGCATGAGTTTGTGTAAGGGTTGAATAATGACCATTAACTTAAAATGTCCTACTGTTAGTCATCCTGTCACAGCCTCCATGTAGAGAGTTGTATTTAATAATCTAGCCTCTGTTCCGCTCCTGCTTTAATCTTTGCTTGGAAATGGAAGCCTCTTCTGATAACTTTGAAATTACAGAAGTATTACACCAATTTTTCATCATTCTCTGCCTTTTGGGAAAGAGGGAAGTAGCTGGCACATTTGGACTCTGCCCTTGAAGATAAAGATGAGCTCATTAATAAGTCGGAGCCTTAAAGACAGTTCCTGAAAGGCAGTCATCCTCTGAGGCTTCTGGGGTTGCTCAACAGTGAAGCGAGAGGAGGAAGATAAGAGGTTGATTGTAGTGGGTTGTTTGGAGTGTACAGAGACCGTGCAGTTGTACAGCTGCACATTTCATCAAATAATCATTTCCTTGATACATGATCATTATTAAGTACAAACTTAATGACTCCAATAAAACAATTGGGTCTCTCTCCTACAATCTCTCCCTGTTTTCTCTCTGCAACGTTGAATGACAAGCAAGCATCGAAAGTCATTTATGCCAACTCATTGTAGTGTCGTGTTCCATGGGCTTTCATTTAATTATCTTACATGAAAAAGGTTTTTCGTCTTTTACAGGCTTAGGCAGGAACAGGGAGAAGCAGGGAAGGTGAGAGTGAAAGCACGTTTTGCCTCGCAGAGTTGCCTTTTACTTACGAGAAATAAGGCTGATGTTATCACCCACTTTCTAATCAAATTTGACAGGAGCATTTTGTTAAGCCACTTTCTCTGAGTGGGAATTCTGAGGAATATGTCTCACATCTCCGGTTTCAAAGTATTACTTTACACTGTTCCCAAGTATTGTTTGCCTTAATGGATGAATTATTGTAGTGTGTCAGAGAAGCAGATAATTCAGAGCCTCATTTTATAAACTAAGAACCCAAGGCACAGTAGTTTAACTTGCATAGCTGCTGAGCAGTGAATGGAGCCCAGGTCATGCACCCGAAGTACTCTTGGTTGGATGAAAAGTTTGCTAACCTGGCCTCTGTATTTCTCTTCAGGAAATTATAGCTACTGGAGAAGGTCAGGAATTTTGTCAGGGACCTTCTCCTAAGGGGAGATGGGCAGTGCTTTCAGCATACTCCTGACACACTTCTGTTTCAGACGCTCTTTTTGCCACTATGTCTGTGTGTTGATACATACCACTGAAAAAGCAGTTCTCTCCACTTGGTCTTCTGCCCACATGGCTCATCGCTCTGTCCTTGAGTAAGTGGGCAGTTGGTCACAAAGCTGGTCTTTCTGAAAAGATAAACCGTAAATTGCTTTGGAGGCTGAAGCAGGTTTTGTATGACTGTGGCATAGCCCAGTGCAATAAACTCCTTACCAGATTTTGTGTGCACACACATTAATGGTGCTTGGAAGGTCCAGTCTGTTTGCAGATTGGCCACCCGCTCCATGAGTAAACTGCTACTGTGACATCAAATGATAATTTATATAAAGCATATGCTACTCTTCTTCACTAAGGCTGCCTGGCTGAGACTGGGTAAAAGAAGCAAATCCAAACTACCGTCCCTTGTTATGTTTGGACATTTTCAAACCACTGCACTGGTACAAAATGGTTCCCTTCTGCCAGTTTGTGTAGCCAGCTGATCCCAGCCCTTTGGAAACAAGAGCATCAGTGCAGTTCTGCTGGTGGGAACCAGCCCTTGCAGGAACCTGCTGGCAACTTTGTGTTGTACATGTTCCTGGAGGGACTGCTGAATCCAGCGGTAATAGCCACCATGCTTCAACTCAGTAAATCAAGGGGTGGCATCTTTGCCTTCTCAGGAAGCACTTGGATTGTTCACAGTTAATATAGTTGGCAGTATTGGGAACAAGGAGGTAAAGTTCTGTTTAACTCTGTTGCTGTTGAAGTACTCAATACATTGAGGAGGAGCGGTGGGATTCAGGTGTGGGAGGAGATGAGCCTGCCGTCAGTCTGGTGGCTGATTTTTAACAAGGGATTGCTGAGGGCACCCCTAGAATGCAGATTGTTTAGGTATTTCCAAGGAGGTGATCCTTTCCAAAATGCTGATGCTGCTGCCGTGACATCTAGAAACTCTGCAGGAAGTGTATCCGTACCCCCCTGGGCTGTCGCATCTGGTAGGTATGTAGGGATGCTTGGACACGGTTCCTGCCTCTGCTAATCGAGTGAGTGCCACAACGAAAAAGCCTCTTGTCTCTTGCCAAAGTTCTCTCTCCCACACTTAATTAGACACCAGTAACATTAGCTTTTCAGTGGGAATTGGAAATGCGTAGTGACTTTGTCCTAGCAGCATGCGTTGAAGGGAGACCGGTCCCCCTTCGCTGGGGCAGAAGCTGCTGGCACAGCACGGCTCTCCCATGGGCGCCTGCCCCCTCCGCGCTCGGTGCACCCCGTGTCCATCAGCTGCGGGCAGCAGGGCTGCGAGCGAGCAGGCTTTGAGGAATAAAAACAAAGCTCGCTCCTGTCTGCGTCCAAAGCCTTGTAAGCCTTATGGCAAGAGACTGTGGGGGGCTCTGTAAATGGTCCCACAGCGGGAGGTGCAGGGAGGGTGGCTGCGAAGAATGCGTAGGGCGCGCGTTTGCTGCAAGCATCACGTAGATGTTTTGCGGTACTGCAGAAATACCATTTCCGAAGTGGTTAAACTCGGTTTATTCTGAATTCAGGTTATTGAAAACTCGGTTTGTGTATCAGTAAACTCAGTTTATTGATTGTAGCAAGTTATTTTGCAGAGGAACATTAATCCTTTATTGTCGTAGCCATTTGGAGAGCTTGTGTTCCCCAGAGCTGTGGTTTTAGACAGGTTGAGCTTATAATTTAAGTGCTGTTTGGGAGGGATTCACCTTCTTTAGGGAGGGCTGAGCAGCACCTTTCTCGGTGAATGGCTGGCAAGATGGGAGTTCCCAGCGCTCCCTGACCCGCGCTGGTCCTGTCTGGCTCCCTGCACCCCTCGGCAGGAGATGTTGAAATGGAGCCTTGCCAGCCCCGACCCACTCCCCACAACCCTCCTAGGGCTTTTTAAACAAGCACAGCTACCAGTGTGTAGACCTGATTTCCTGTAGCTGTTCTGCCGTCCTTGCCTCTCTGTTCTATGTGTTGAGGGGATATATTTATACTTCGGTTACTGGGGCTTCAGTTAACATTTTGTTACCTTGCAATTTATTACTAACTGACCCTGTTTCCTTGTCTCCAAAACAGATGGTGTCTTATTTCCTATTTCTTCTGAAATTACTCTTCCTTTTTTCATATCACGGGCTTAGGAAAGCTATGTCACTTAACCATTGACAATTCTTAATATTGCAGTATTTCAGTGAGTTTTCAGTCTGAAAAAAATGCCTTTTGCTTAAAGTGAATTGGGAATTGTTTTGCCAATGGCCGTGGAAGTTTTTTGTTCATTTCTCTATCTATACTGTTAGGGTTGTGCTGCATTAGGCTTTGAGTTACTATTATTTGGCTGTGGCTCTCGGGCTGTAGCTCAGGCTCTCTGGGCTCAGCCAGGTGGTTGTACGTTGGTCAGTGGGTGGTGAGAAAATGTGTCATATTGTATCATATGTTCTATTTTCTATTATTTATTACTAGTAGCATTTGTATATATTAGTTTAGATTTAATTAGTAAATAGTTCTTATCTCAATTTTATGAGCTTCCTTATTTCTTTTTTCCTCCTATTCTCCCCCTCTGCTGGAGGAGGGGAGGGGGATTTGTGGGAGTGTCTTCATGGTATTTTGCTAGCCAGAGTTAAACCACGACAGGCAGTGGCTCCAGAGAAAAATGCCCATGTTCTGGGACAGATCCACTTTTTGTTGTGGACATTGTCCTCTTCCTCCAGTTGCTTTCTCTCCATTATTTCTCTCCATTATATTTCTATCCTGTCTTCTGTGTTGTCTTCCAAGAGTCTGCCACAGCTTGTGCAAGTGAAGCATTGCTGGAAGAGATGGGTCCGGATCCAGGCTGGAGTCCGTATGCTTTTCCCAGCCACCCGTATGCAGGGAGGCTATAGCTCTTCAGTGTTACCAAATAATATTATTTCAAAAGCTTCTTATAAAAACATGAGTAATTGGGCGAGTGACAAAGGACTTTCTGTTTATCTTTTTGAACAATGGAAAATACCAAATAGCCACAATTTGTTACAGTTGTTTAGTGTCTTTGTTCCAGAGCCATTTCATGGGCACAGGATTTAATTCTGCAAGAATGCAGGAAGATGGTGACTTGGTTTTCTGCTTTAAAAATAACCAATTAAAATTCTTAAGTTTCTTTACTAGGAAAATATTTTTTATTTTCACAATAACATTTTTAAAAGAAGTTATTTTATTGTCTATTACAAGTCTAAGGTTATTTTGAAAGTGAGACTTTTAAATAGATGCTGATATCTTTGCCATTCCAGAGAATGCTACAGTTTGGAAAAGCTTTGTACAAAAGCTGATGTTTGTACCCTGAGAACAGCAGATTTGCTTTGCAAATAGGGACTAACTAATCATCAAAAATAACACTAACCTAAATAAGTTGGATAGAAATTTAATAGGCTGATCTAAGTTGGTAACTCTGATTTAAAGTGGGAGGTGTGCTTCTAAAAGGGAAAACTTCGGAGGAAGAGCACTTGCAAAAAATTTTTCCTGCTGCCATGCGGTTGTCAGAAGCCGAGAGGAGCGAGGGTGTAGGGCAGGTGGTGCCACCCTCTGGCAACCTACTGAAAGACACATGGGTGCTCAGAGGTGGCAGGTACCTGTGGTGCACGGGTGGTACGTGGCCGTGGTGTACGAGGCAATACGTAGGATTGGTTACATATTCTGGAGGAGCAAAATCCCTTTGAGGCATTGGGTCTGAAGAATTTAGAGATGGGAAAATCGGAGTGAATCTCATAGAATAGAATCACAGAATGGTTTGGGTTGGAAGGGACCTTAAAGACCATCTAGTTCCAACCCCCCTGCCATGGGCAGGGACACCTTCCACTAGACCAGGTTGCTCAAAGCCACATCCAGCCTGGCCTTGAAGACATCCAGGGATGGGGCATCCACAACATCTCTGGGCAACCTGTTCCAATCTCCTAGGTTTATTTCCAAAATGTGGAAATAACCTTTCCGTAGATGTCCACTCGCTTGCCAACTTTACTTCTTGTCTTTTGACATCTCAAGCCCTTTTAACTCTCCTGCCATGGAGTTGGCCCTCATGTCACATAAAGCTTCTGGGAAGAACTGTGTTTGCGCCGTGTTTAATTGTTCAGGTCATGGCCCAGGATGAGCAAGAATTAATCTCTTCCCAAGGTGGTGGGTATCACTGAGGTCTGCCTGGCTAATAGCCTGGTCGATTCTACAGTTGTTACAAATCTGTTCTACAGTTCCTCTGGAAGACCTGGCGCCTGCCTTCTGGTTGGCATGTCTCTGCTCCACAGGCAGGAATCTCTCCCGGGGTCTCACCTGCCTCGTCTTTTGTTTTGCAGGTGGTACCAGAGAGATTGGGTCTGCACTCACCAGGATGTGTATGAGGCACAGAAGTATAGAGTCCAAACTCCGGCAGTTCTCAAGGTGAGTGGCTCTGTGACTGGCCTGGAGCTGGAGGTTCATCTTTCACGTGCTACTGGGGAACACCTAAAGCTGTTCACCAGCATTGGCTTTTCAGCTGAACTCTGACCGTGTCACGGGGAACAGCGGTTGTTTTCTCCCCCACAGCACACTAGGTGTTGTGAACCTGTAGGATTCCTTGATCTGAGGACTGGGCTTGTCACCTCGAATCACTCTCAGTGCTGCAAATTCCCACTGTCAGTTCCTGTTGCTCAGTGCTGAGCAGGCAGCTGCTGATGGGACCAACCTATCTTTGTTTCAGGACTTTAAGGTTTAAAGCAGCAGCAGCAAGTGTTGTGCTGCTTCCTCAGCTTGCTGGAGAGCCCAGATAGCTTACGGCCAAGAGAAAAACTTTCAGCAAAAAAGTATGGAAAAGGCAAATTCTCTCATCCCCTTTTTGCAGTCAAAGTTAGACTGTAGAGGTAATGAGAGAGGATTGACCTGTGTGTAAGCTAGGCTATACATAAACAATCTATTCTGTAGTAAGTAGTAGCTTGCACGTGTGCCTTTTTTAACCACACTTCAAAGTTACAGTTGACCTAAGGTGAACCAAAATGGTGCTTTACCATTTGCCTGATGACCTGGTATGTTTTTTTCTTTTAAAAATAAAAATATTTGTGAAATTGGCTGTAAGGAGACAGCTTTAGCCTCTTGTTACCCCGGAGTTAGCTGTTTAAATGATTCAATCCCAATCTCGTTAATTGGTGGAGCAGTACTAAGTGCTGTATCATGGATGCCACTGATGAGAGGTGGGGCACATCGGTGGGCAGGATGTCGTTTGCTTGTACAACTGCTCTGTCTTCTTGTAAATATACATGTGTTATTAAAGTTTATAATCTTCAATGCTGTATGAACCTTTCCGGTCTCTGGAGTATCTGTTTAAACTGCTCTTTGTGTGACAGATCAGTAGGACCTAACTGTTTACATTGGCCTTGTTTCGGGTCACTCCTCTGGTTTACACTCTGTTCCTCACTGTCCTGAACTTCTGCACCGTACTTCTGGTTATCTTGTGATTTGGATGTGTTTTTCTTGATCCAGTCCTTTCTTTTGCTTTCTCCAGCGTAAACATTTTTTATGTTCTGATATTTACATTGTGACACTGGTAGCTGTCGCAGCAAAAAGTAAAAATACTCCAATATTGACCTTGGCTCTCTGTATGAGAATAGGGGCGTCTGCAGGATTTGATTGCTCTTTGTGTTTTTTCAACAAAATTAGTGCTTTAATTGACTGTCTGATAAACCCACTTCAAGAACAGATGGAAGAGTGGAAGAAAGTGGCCAATCAACTGGATAAAGACCATGCAAAAGGTAGTTACAGAGGGAGAATTCTTTAATAGCAGTGAGATTGTAATATCAGCTTTTCTTCCTCTTTTCATGTTTGTACTGGGGAACTGAATGATGTGCTTAAGTATGTACAGCAACTTTTCTCTTCTAAAACACTCCTTTTCCAAAGCGCCTAACAGATTTTTAATCCTTGCATATACATTCTGAAGGTGTAGTTTGCAGGGGTGTTTTTCTAGACTGGTAAGCAGTGACTGGTTAACTAGCCCACTCACTGTACGATCTCCAGTAGTGCTGAGGGATGGGGATGCCACATCTATCCCTGCAAAGCCCCAGGGTGTAGTTAACAGCTAACTGTGAGATCATGTTATGTCTCAGACATAGCGCCCTCCAGAGAATGCACAGCCCTGTAAAACGTTCAGCATCCTCACTTTGTATCTATGCAGTACTGAAATGTGCACCTGGGGAACGGGAAAGCTGTGTCATCGGCATGGGATGCTCAGAGCTGCAGCACTCATGAGGGCTCCAGAGGCTTTCCTGGGGGAATGAGCAGGAGGCAGCAAATCCTTGCACAGCGAGAGCATCTTGGTAGATGCCTTTGGCTTTACACAACTTGTACTGGGGATGATGGCCCTCTAGCACAGGTGCTGAAAGCAGGTTGCAGTTCACCACTGACCCCTGAAATTGAAGACTTTTGCTATGTCTGAAAGAATCAGCATCACCTTAATTTATTTTGGGGAGGGTGAGAACTGATGGGAAGGAATGTGCTTGACCTCCAAAAGAGAATTTGCATCTTGTCCCACTGTTACTGTGCTCAAACAGAAGCAGCTAGATCAGCAGCTTTTGAAAAAAAATCCACCTTGTGCTGTGGAAAGTGTAAAGCATGTAGAATGATAGAATCGTTTTGGTTGGAAAAGACTTTTAACCGTTAGTCACCTGAGTTCCTGCAGGCAGGGCCAAAGTGGCAGGGGGATTTGGGGTTTAGTGGGTAACCTTGGGTGTTGGGGTGCAGCTGGCCTCAGTACAGTCCCTGTACCCGCCACCAGCTTGCTGCTGTTTTTCCATCTATGGGAGAATAATAACACTGATCTCCTATGTTAAAGTGTATGTGTATATGTATATGCATGCCTTTTACCTTTTTTTTGGTGGTGTTTGGTTTTTGTTTTGTTTTTTTTTGAAGTATCAGTTTCGTATCTGGTACCTTTAGTGTGCCTGGTCTAGAGGTGGAATATTTTGTTTTGGGAATTTATTCTCCCGGGATTTGCAGGTCATCTGCAAATGAGGACAACTTGATCAGAAAGGGCTGGCAATGTGACCCTTCCTTGGGCAAAGTTTGAGCACCCTCTCCCTCACTCTCTATGCTGGAAAGGGATCACAGGATATTCTCTGCCTTGCCATTTCTGGATACTTGTTTTTGAACACAGATGTTTCGAGAAACCTGTCATCTCTGTTTTCCATTCCTGAGAGTGGATGAGTCTCTGCAATGAAAAGCACTCTAATTTTGTACTGTGTTCTCAGTTGTTATTTCTGTAAAGGCTTTGTTTATTTGGGAAAGACTTTGGCATGTGACTATGCTCACACCCTTGAGTGTTATATTAAAACAAATGTATGGGCACTACAAAATGCGAGTTCTAAGTTGCTTTGATTAATAGTAACTGTCCTCTTAAAATATGTAATCTAATGTCTTTAAACATAACCTTTTCTATGGAAAACATTCATTTTGACATTGAGTATGTTGATAACACTGTGTGTTTTTTAGAATACAAAAAAGCCCGCCAAGAGATAAAAAAGAAATCGTCTGACACACTGAAGCTACAGAAGAAAGCAAAGAAAGGTAACTTGCTTCATACTTGTACTGTTAAAAACCTTTTGTGCTGTGCTCATTGACAAAGACCGAACAGCGACAGGACTTTTTATTGTAATAATTCGGTCCTCCGTAATGTATTCCTGGTACGTACTTGGAACACCAGGGTACAATTACTGTGTGTCATTTGAATCTCATTCTGAAGCTGCTGTCTAATGTTCTTACACAAAAGCCTTAAAACTGTTTGTACAAAGTCAATCATGTTTTAAAATAGAGCGCTTGCTGCTAACTTATTCCTGTTAGGAACGTTGACACTGTAACATGATTTGTGCAGATACCTGTAAAATTTTCTAAGAATCTTCAGGAATAATATAAAAAAAGCCATTATCTAAATGTTCTCTAACTATTAACATTTCTCACTCTTCTCCCTTTCTACCACCTTTCTTCTTCTTTTTTATTTTTTTTTCCAACAGCCTGTGATCACCTAAACCTTAAATTATTGCTGAGTGTGAGAAGGTGGCATGGGTTGTTGTCAGGGGGAGGGCACTTGGCAGCCATAAAAAAACCTAAAGATGAGTAAGAAATGGAAAGGAGAGCTCCACAAAGGCAATCTGTCTCTTTTAGCAGCTGAATCTCGTGCTCGTGTTGCTCTCCCACCACCATCTTGTCACATGAGTTTCATCATCATGTTAATAGAAACATGCATCACTGATAGTACCTGAAGGGGCTACAAGGAAGCTGGGGGGGACTTTTTACAAGGGCCTGTAGTGACAGGACAAGAGGGAACGGGTTTAAATTGAAAGGGGGGAGGTTTAGATTAGATATCCGGAAGAAGTTCTTCACGGAGAGGGTGGTGAGGCCCTGGAAGAGGTTGCCCAGAGACGCTGGGGATGGCCCATCCCCGGAAGTGTTCAAGGCCAGGCTGGATGAGGCTTTGAGCAACCTGGTCTAGTGGAAGGGGTTCCTGCCCATGGCAGGGGGGATGGAACTAGATGGTCTTTAAGGTCCCTTCCAACCCAAACCATTCTATGATTCTGTGATAGCTGCTGGATTCCCATGCTTGGCCCAGTGCAAACCCCAGCAAGCTTTGGAACAATGATAGGGAGCTTGTACAGAGGCAGACTTTCTGGCTCCCTTTCCCGGCACTGGATAGGAAGTGTTCTTTGAGCAGTTCTCAGCCTGCAGCTTGTGCTTCCCCTCCTGCCTAAAAACTGTCAGCCCAGGGACAAGCAAGATAGAAGCTAGGACAGGGTGTTTCTTGAACGTTTTAAATTGTGTGTTACCCAGAACAGGTGAGCTGTCTCTGACGGTCCTTCCTAATAGGCGAGTCAATAATTACGCTGGCAGAAAGCCACATGACTGAAAAACTGCTTTTGAATTTTAGCTGACTTTAGGTGAGGGATGAGGGAGGGAGCGATGGAAGCCAACAAGAGGGAACTTGGCTTGCTCAGCTGTGTGTCACTGTCTCTTGAGAAGTTCAGTGTTTTAAATCAAAATGGTCATCTTAAGGAGGACACAATTTTTTGTGATCAGATTTTATTCTTTGGGTGATGCGTAAGCATGTTTCTCATTTTGTGTGACACATTGTCTGACCTCAGACCAACAGCTTTAGAGAGTCTGTGATATTCCCTCGGTTTCTTTTCCTTTCTTCCCCCCTTTTCTAGTCTCATCGCTTCTTCTCCCCATGTGATGCAAACAACCCCTCAGTGCATGGTAGACGAGCCTGAGAAAAGCCTGTCCATGATTTGAGAAGAAGAAACCAATTTTTGAACCTGTTTCTATGAATTGACACCTATCTGGCTCCATCTCCCTTTTATCCTGCTTCTGAGTATTGAATAAATGAATCCACTGTCTTGGAGGAGGAGATAGCATTTTCTGTAGGGTGGGAAGAGGACAGAGAGCACCTAAAGCCTTCTGGAAAAAAAAAACCCACTGTTCTCATGCTGCAGATGTCTGTTAGTGGGTAAAGCAAGTGGACTTTCTCCTTGGATTCTCATGTGTGCCATGTCTAGTGATCAAGGGTCAGCACACTGGTGTCTCATCCTGCTTCAGGATTAAACATCTTTGAGCGGGGAGTGGAACAGGCCTATTCTGCTATCACTTTTATAGCAGCCGTACTACGATCAAAGACCTTTTTTAAAATGTCATTCCCTTGATTAATTTTGCAGTTATGACATGCTCATGGAGTTGTCACCGAACCGGCTGTACTTCTGTGCTGTATCCCTCAGCGCTGCTGTCACGCACATGGTGTTTGGGTCCAGAGCACAAACCCAGTGGGACTGGGGTGGGGTTAAACTGGTCGCAGAGGGATGTGTATGAAGAAGGTGGAAGCGATGAAGGGTCGCAGATGGCCAGTACAGGGGAAAGGAGGAGCTGCAGTGTTCTTGAGGAGCTGAGAATTGTTTTCACGGCCTCCTAGAGAGGAGAGATGGAGTGAGGTGCTGAGGCTGCTACGGATGTGAGAACGAATGCCCAAAGCTGCTAGCGCTGTGGGTTCCCAGCATGAGTGGGTGGGAGGTGAGAGGGAGTTCACCCTGTCTTGTTGCAAGTTATCTACAGCACCTAAATATGGAAGAAATGAAAGTATCAGGTGCTTTTTCTCCTCTTTGCCTTTTTTGATCCCTGTCCTGAAGGAATAAAGCATTGGTCTGAGTGCAATGTCAGATGTTGTTCTGGAACCATTTCTGTATGTACCTACCTTGGCAGATCTGTTTAATGTGCTACATGGTGAAGTGTGTTGCTCTTGCTGTCACTGAGGCATAAAAAAAAAAAAGAAGAAGGGGTTTAGTTGTAAAATGATAAAGCTGCAGAAGTGATTCTGCTTCAGGTCACAAATGAGGTTTGAACTACAGGCAGGGAAGCTCTTGGGTGAAACTGTCCTGGCAGGCATGTGGCTGAGTGCATGAATGTCTTACTGTGTCTTGAACTCTCCTGGTTCCCTGTTCCTCAGACTTACTGTTTTTGTTGTGTTCTTCCTCAAGCAGGACCTGTCCCTTTGATTTTTCTGTAAAGTTACTGACTCACCTATGGGAACTCTAAAACAACCAATTCATTCCCTTCCTAGCGCTTGTAAGAATACTTTTGCATTAACCTTATGATCATCTGTGGGCAAGTGAGATGTTTGCTGAACTGTGGATTTGCTTAAATACTGTGCATGCTCCTAAAAACGTCCTTCAAGCTTTTTCTGCTGTGACTGGATGGGAAAGTGGTGTTCTTCTGCTTTGGGCAGCTTCAGGAACTCAAATATAACCCTGTACTTTTCTCATGCACGTCGTGGCCGTGATGTCCTCTCTCCCTGCCTCCTCAGGCTGCGGAGACTCCCTCTTGTAGCTGACAGCTGCAGCATGCGTTAGCAGCTCCTTGCCTGCATCCCAAGACAATTGGGAGAAAGGGCCATGGGCTGTGTGGCTTGTCCTGGCAGGAGTGCTACAGACTGGGCACCCCACCTTAGCACTAAGGAGCTGGACACCTTGGGGTTTGCCTGTTCTCTGCCTGGTGCATGGTCTGTTTGTTCTGGTTCCGTGCAGCCGAGTTGAAAGTTCAGGCAGCGCACTTAAGACCATTTATTAGAAATTATGTTTGCAGAGTAGGTGTGTTAATTGCAATAAAGGTGTTTGCAAAGCTTAAAGTGATGGGGAAAACACCATGGTTCCTGAACAAAATGAAAAGGTGTTAAGGGTCCTTTTTGGAAGTTTGCTAGGGTATATCTGCTATATTGATGAGTCTGTGTGTAAGCAAAGGTCTTGCATTTTGAAAGACCTTAGAGGGGTAATTTTCATTCTTTCTGTTGTTTTATCTACAAAAAAAATAATTATATGAAGTCTGAATATATGTAGTCTAAATAGGATCCTGGTGCAGCTCCCAGATCCGTGCAGTCCCTGGGGGTGTCATGGTGATCTTCAGGGTGCATCATTTTCCTTATGCCCTTGTTCCCAAGGGAATAGGCTGTAGGGCATGTTGCCCACGCCAGCATTGAAACTTAGCTCTTGTCCGAACAGATGAAGCTACGTAGTGCATGGAAGTGCATACATCTTCTAAATTGCTCTTTGTTTTCAGACACTGGACATCAGAAGTCAGCCCAGCTAACCTGAGTCAGCAGAATATTTATGCATATATTTAAAATAAATTCCATGTTTAGGCTTCTGCTGGGTCGAGGCCTCCTAAGTGGATCCATAGCTGCTAGAAGCTGTTGATGCTATATAGAATTCTGAGGAGAGACAGCAGCCATGGCTCTGCATGTAACCATCGTGGAAGGTTAACAAAATGCATGATTCTTAGGTTTTTTTTTTTTTAAAAAAAAGCATCAAGTGACTAACTTAAAATATAACTGGATGTATATGTAAAATCTGGAGTGCATGTCGGCTTTGTTTTCTGTATTTCAGCCTGGCTCTTTATGATTAACTAGACAGGTTTCCCTTCTGCCTATAACTTGACTGGTAGGTTTCATTTTCAGGTTCTTCCTGTGATAGTGCGTCAGCTTTGAGGAGAATGTTTAAATCCAAACAGATTTGTGAAAAGGAGTTTTATGTAACGCTCCAAATAATATAACACGTGTTAATGTGAAAACTGAGTTTGATCACTAAGCCAGTCGTAGGAGCTTCTGCGGAATGCCCCTAACACTCAGCGCAGCATTTCATCTTGTGTCCCATCAGCGTTGAGTAGCCAAACTCACCACCTTTTCTTTTGAGCGTGCAGCAGTTTTGGAAAGTATTCTTACTTCTGAGGAAGCTGAGAGAGTAGAACATGATTATTAATTTACTGTAATGCTGCCAAAAGTGCTTTTTCTTCTCCTCCTCCCAGTTAGCAGAGATGACCTGTTTGTGTTTTGGAGCCTCTGCAGCTGGTTTTGTTACACCCTGGTCTTTGAAACTGAAATACTGATACAGTCCTCTCGAGGATGATTGTGCAAACCCCGTGACTCTTAACTGAAAAGCATAAAGCTCTTCAACGTAATTATAACCAAAGAACACCTCAGTTCTGAAAGCAAATGGTGACCACCTCATTCAAGTACTTTGTACTCTTTCTGTACT